ACCATCATCGTGCACCCGGAGCGCGCTCCCGGCACGTGACGGGGAGGGCGGTCCGGCGGGAAGGGCGGCAGGGAGGGGCGGGGGACTGAGGGGAAAGGGGGCCGGGGTAGCATGGACGTGCCGGGGACCGTGAGGGGAAACCGGCCGGGGTGGCACAGACACCGGGAATCCTGAGGGGAAACCGGCTATGGGTGGCACAGACAAAGAGAATCCTGACGGGGAGCCCGCCCGGGGTGGCACGGACACCGTGAATCCTGAGGGGGAACCCGGCCGGGGTGGCACAGACACGGGGAATCCTGAGGGGAACCCTGCCCGGGTTTGCACGGACATCGGGAATCCTGAGGGGGAAACCTGCCGGGATAGCACGGACATGCCGGGGACCGTGAGGGGAAACCGGCTATGGGTGGCACAGACACCGGGAATCCTGAGGGGAAACGGGCCATGGGTCGCACGGACACCGGGAATCCTGAGGGGAAACCGGCCATAGGGGGCACAGACACCGGGAATCCTGAGGGGAAACCGGCCATGGGTGGCACAGACACCGGGAATCCTGAGGGGAAACCGGCCCGGGATGGCATGGACACCGTGAATCCTGAGGGGGAACCCGGCCGGGGTGGCACAGACACCGGGAATCCTGCGGGGAAACCGGCCATGGGTGGTACAGACACCGGGAATCCTGAGGGGAAACCGGCTATGGGTGGCACGGACACCGGGAATCCTGAGGGGAAACCGGCCATGGGTGGCACAGACACCGGGAATCCTGAGGGGAAACCGGCCATGGGTGGCACAGACACCGGGAATCCTGAGGGGAAACCGGTCATGGGTGGCACAGACACGGGGAATCCTGAGGGGAACCCTGCCCGGGTTTGCACGGACACCGGGAATCCTGAGGGGAAAACGGCCCGGGGTGGCACGGACACCGGGAATCCTGAAGGGAAACCGGCTATGGGTGGTACAGATACCGGGAATCCTGAGGAGAAACCCACCCGGGATGGCACGGACACCGGGAATCCTGCGGGGAAACCGGCCATGGGTGACACAGACACCGGGAATCCTGCGGGGAAACCAGTCCAGCTGCGCACACACACGCCTGTAGGTAT